TTATAACGTGATTAAGTTGCTCTCCATTGAAATCCATGTCGGATACGACTCAATAAGGTAGTATTAAACAAACCCAGAGTTCAGCAAACGTATTGACGAATTCGGTTATGTCGAGGTCTCGGCTGAGATGAAATCAGTCGTAATATCAAACAGTGATACGAGCGCGTAGCTTGCAGCTGACGTAATTGAGTGAGTGAGTGAGTTGGGTTTTACGCCGCTTTTAACAGTATTCCAGTTATATCACGGCGTGTCAGCTTCATGTGGGAGGAAAGCCCGAAGTGATGCAGGTCTCAGACGTTTACCACTCCGGTGAAACCCACGAGCACGGGTATGGTGCTGACAAACCTAGATTGGGGCGAATCTCTATTCGAACCCACAATCATAGGTTTCTGGCGTGCCCAAAGGACGCAACTCTGCATAGCGAATCGCGGCGCCTTAGACGACTGGGCCACCCGTGCCCCCTGACGTAAATGAGAATACAGACTTGGTTTTCTTAAATCATTTAAAGCCTCACTTGTTCGCTTGATGTCATCTAATCATAAACCTACTATTGTACTGTTATCAAAATTCATATTGAATGCAATGAAATTGTATAAATTGTAATTGTATTCCTGTAATGTGATATTCTATGGGCCTGTGGCCTCTAACTTCAAATAAAGGTGTTGATAGACTTGGTTTTAACGAACTGGCCATTAAGTGATGTCGTCCTTGTTCGTGTTTTCCTCTGTTCCTTCTTGTTCGTTATAACCGGAGTTATTTATATCCAGGTATCTTTGAAATTAGTTATAACCGGAGCTCGGGGCACGGGTGGCCCAGTCGTCTAAGGCGCCGCGATTCGCTGTGCAGAGTTGCGTCCCTTGGGCACGCCAGAAACCTATGATTGTTGGTTGGAATCCCAGTTCGCCCCGATTATGTTTCTGGGTTTGTCATCACCATACCCGTGCTCGTGCGTTTCACCGAAGTGGTAAACGTCTGAGACCTGCATCACTTCGCGCTTTCCTCCCACATTAAGCTGACACGCCGCGAAATAACTGGAATACTGTTAAAAGCGGCGTTAAACCCGACTCACTCGCTCACTATATCTTTGTTGTTCGTTATGACCGGAGTTCTTCATACCCAGGGCTCATTAAAGTTCAATATACTAGGAACTCGTTGTATTCAGATATCTTTGTAGTTCACTATGCCCGAGTTACATGTGTTGAGATTCTCTGTAGTTCGTAATAACCAGTGTTTCTTTTTCCCCAAGATGTGTTATTTCGGGTTTGCATCTATCGTGTTCCTTGGAGTTTGTTATACAGAATCTCCTTACATGAAATAGTTCCTGGGGGTTCGTTATATCCGTAGTGAATGTATACTTGGAATATGTACAGTTCAGAGGCAGTTACACTGACTCCCTTCCTATCGCACCCTTATCTCCGGTTATCTCGAGGTTTCGTTTTGTTCTTTCCTGTTCGTGATAACGAAAGTTCAGTGTGATGTTAACCCGCATCCCTACCAATGAACACCGTGAAACACGAAGCCACATCTATATGTAGCTGGAATGAGAGTGTAACGGACACTGAAGGACCGGCACGGTTCAACATTCAAAGCAACATCATGGCTGAAAAGGTGGGGGCTGGATTACATCTGCAGGTTTGACAGTCGATTGACACTTTCCACTTCAATGATCCCAACAGTCTTGGCCATATTCCCTGCAGGTGCCAATGCCGGTAAAACTAGTACTGACACATTCAGTTCTTATGTCAGATAAAACACCAAGGCTAGTTTGTGTGATGAGGTAAAGAAATTGTCAGTCTTTGATGGTAATATGCTTTCATAATTTAATATCACATATTATGGCAAATATGCTAGGTTAGCAATTTGATCAGCAAATGACGTTTCCTTATTTTTACTATCATTGTTCGAGATATTTTGGTTTGGCGAAGGCAATGTGAATGACCCACCCACTGTAGACACTATGTAAGCAAAGTCCTTACACGCCATGATTTACCATGCAAACACTCACGTATTCCTGATACAGCAAGTATTACTCTACATGTACTTACAAATAATGAACAAGTCGGTACAGGTAAATGTGCGCATATATACATGTAGTAAGATATTGATAACAGACCTCAATGACCTCATGATTTCTATTATACGGACAATCCAGTGTGCACAAAATGGTCGCATTATCCGTTTCGGGTAACACGTGAAGTCAGATATATTTTCTTTTAATTAGGATGAGTTACATCGATGAAAGCAGCCAGAATTTACACCGTCACACCAGTGCTGCAAAGCGACATGTGGATTTAAAAAAAGTGTAATATGTTGGTAAAAAGTTTAATTAATAAAAAGATATAATGTAAGCCCACGAAACCTGCCCTGGGCAATCTTAACCCCACCTTTTCACACGTACTAAAATTAGTCTTTAGATATATAAGAAAACAATCATGCAAAGTTCTATCCGTACAGTGTACAGTTTTAAATATTTGCTGTTCCCTATAGCGGTTTTGACAACTAGAATTTTAACCATTTGCAGATTTTATCAAAACAAAACTGTTTTTAAGAATTTTGCCAACGAAGCATATTGTTCTTCATGCATATATTTAAAATATGTGCTGATGCGAATTTCTCCTTGTCAATTCAATCTTCAATCTGGACACAATCACATACTGCGCGTTAAGGTTTGGCATGGATGCCCAAATATGGGTACCGCGTGGGACAATATACACTTGACGTTGATACACAAATTAAAGATAAAGTTCTCACATTTGTCGGTCATATCATACCATATACGCTTTCAGAATTTATGAATTAATAACAACGACGAAGAGGAATGTCACTCTGTGAGCCTAAGCTTTGATGCGTGCTTTACGACCTCGGGGGAGTACACTGTCTCACATTTTCTCACTTTTAATATCAAAGGAAGGTTGGGTATAGCTGTCATTATAAAGCTGTCATTCACGTCCACTGTCGCACAAACAACAACACTTGACCACAGATGGCCGGCTTCCACACATAATGGTCACTGTGTGTAGCAATGGTGTATCGGTGTATACGTCCTGGCTGGTCATTGAATAGTGTTAATTTATGGTCAAAATGACGAGAAGATATACTGTCGTCAACATTGAGAGATTATAACTGAGCCTTATGGCATTTCATACATATTTATATCAAAGACTCCACTCTCATATATTAAGAATCGTAATTTTACATATTTGAGTCTTAAATTCAGTTTGTGAGATCTTTATGTATGATAAAATAATGAATGTGTTTCACACTGCCGTGGAATGTTATTCATCTTAACATTTACAGTTCTGTTACTGTGGGGTTATTTCCTGAATCTACAATTATAATCCATCCTTTTATGACTCGAGTTGTGTTCACGTGTCTTAGAACAATTCATCAGTTGTATCACAGAAAAAGTTTCGTCCAAGTAAAGAGTCAAGGACAATCCCGAAAACGTGACGATACAGTGAGTGAGTATGGTTTTAGGCCGCTTTTAGCAATATTCCAGCAATATCACTGCGGGGGACACCAGAAATGGGTTTCACACATTGTGCCCATGTCGGGAATCGAACCCGGGTCTTCGCCGTGACGAGGGAACGCTTCAACCACTAGGCTACCCGACCGCCCCGTGCCCATACAGACGATAATGTTATAGTTAAAATGTAATTACAAATAAGTTTTAGAAAAAAGTTATAAAACAAACTTAGTCACATGCGTAGCCTGTACTCACTGTCAAACAAAACTAGACTGAAAACAGTCACCAGAACAATACAAACTTAAGGTCACCATCTGATAACCATTTCTTGTTTGTTTCATTTTTCGCCACCATTGAAAAATGGTGTATACTTTCGTTTGCCGGGCAGTTAATGTGTAATCATTAACTTCTATAAATCATACCATGTGAGTTACTTACTTGGTCTGCAATATGTATTACTGAAATATAAGACGTCAACGCCGACACATATTCCATTAGGGATACATTCATGAACAGATATAAAATATAATGTGTTTGCATCATTTGTATCGAGCAGTAATGTTCGTAACATTGAAATAATTTTGGGTATAATGTAACCGTATCTAAATGAGACACCTATGAAGGACATTGACCGAGCTCTTACACCAATTGTAAGGCGGAGGAGACAGGCTCTTACAAAAAGACGAAATTCATCTTCAACACGGTTCAAACATCTTGGGCGACAGTTTACACAAACCCGTCTAAGTGTGACAGCGTTTGTAGACGCAGATATGCATTGTTGTAGTGATGTGGCGTGAGATATGGCAAGCTAATTGAAGACAGACACCGCCAATAACGAAGTCGAAAAACTCCCTCCTGTGAGCAATGTTCCTCAAAGATATCTCAGCTAAGTCATGTTAATGTATGGGCCTAATGGTCGTCTTAGCACTAAGATCGCTTGGTGGAATGGCCTCGAGCTCCAGACTGGGCCACGTTGCAGAAGGTGATCTTAGTGCTAAGGCAAGCGTCAGTCTGTGGGGTTATGTTTTTTACTTACGACAGTCGTAACGCTAAGATCACTTTATGGAAAAGTGCTAAGACGATACTTTAACATAGACTTACGACAGTCGTTGCGTTTTGTGGAACGGGGACCTGGGTGCGTTATTCAAAGCGATCTTAGCACTAAGGTGATCGTAACTCCCATACCTTATCATAGACTTACGACAGTCGTAGCGCTAAGGTTGTTTTGTACAACGGAACCCAGATCGTCTTCACTGGGCGTCGCCATTTTGTTTGAAGAAAATGTAGTGATATGAGAGGTGGATTTTGATTGGTCAATAGGAGGTAAATAGAAAGGACATAACTCGTACCAGCCTGTTTTGTACAACGGCAACCTGGTGTATACAGATTTTCAGTGATCCATTTACATAATATACACAGCTATTTTGCATTTTACGCCCAAAGGAATCTGGGATCGAGACTGGTTATTTTTTGGTGTTGGTGTTGGTGTTATATTTCAATATGAAGTGTCTCATTCGTGTTGCTTATCTTTCAGATAACTGTAGGAAGAATGGCGTGTTGTTCCAGCCTGGTCAGAAACTTAAGGAGAACTGTAACGAGTGGTGAGATTATTTTAATGTGTGTCAATTTGACAATGTGTCAGTGTGTGTAAGTATGGGACGCACTATCACACCTCACTACATACTGGTTAACACCATGACGCGGTGTCGCATACAGTATATACACTCTGTGCCTTGATAAAATGCCGCATACAGTATAAACGCTATGCGTGTTGTAAGAGGCTACTAACGGGGTCGGGTGGTCAGACTCGCTGACTTGGTTGATGCATGTCATCGTATGCCAGTTACGTGGATCGATGCTCCTGATGTCAATCACTGGATTGTCTGGTCCAGACTCGATTATTTACAGACCGCCGTCATAAAACTGGAATATTGCTGAGTGCGGCGTTAAACAATAAGCACGCAAACAAACAAACAAATAGTCTATACACTCAGTGCTTTGATAAGGTGTCACATACAGTATACACACTCAATGCCTTGGTAAAGTTTCATTTTCAAAGGAAATTCTTGTTGAAGGTCGGTGTAAATGGATGTCAGTGTGAAACATGTTACATGTTGACAAGGAATGTTTATTTACATTACACTTTATTGATGCATCTTGCCGCACATGTTGCAACTATTGTGTCGTTTCTACTGCATTCTTCGTTTCTTCCCAGCATGTGCGAGGTGTTTGCCGGGCCACCCAGGAGGTTTGACTGGCGCTGCAGTCAGAATGTGTGTTTGATTAGACCGGAACTCATCCGCGCAGTGAATGATGGGAGATATGGGTATGGATGGTTAGCTCATGGTGGATGGATAGCTCATGAAACGCATATTTTACACTAATTGCAGCATGTCGATGTGATTTCTAAAAATATTTATGACTAAATAGTATTTTTCTTTGTGGTTTTATTAAACGACTTGTGAAAGACCACCATCTCGAATCCCAAAGAGGGCGCAATTTATAACGCCTCCTTTTTCGTATCCCTTTCGGCAATAGGGTTAAAACGATACTCGGAATTTAAACAGTTTACAAATGGAATATTTATGCAAAACATTAACCGACGGGCACTCGATAATTTACAAATTGAACTGAAGGTTCCTCTAGAAGGAATACGCTCAATGCTGTGGTGCCCATTTTCAGTATAGACCTAGATGTTGTGATCAATCTTGCTAATAGATGGTTGTGATCAATGTTGCTAGGACTGTCAATAAACCCGAGTCCACTCTCTCTTGAACGTCATTCCACAGATGGACAGCTAGCAACCACTCAGTGCTGTGGGGTATGACGTTACCTGATGGCGTCAAGTACCGTTTAGGAACGTTCCCGCTAGACTCGAACGTTGTGCGCATGACGCCACTCAAAGTGAGGCTGGACGAAGTTCTACCGGAAGCATTCGACTCCCGACAGAAATGGGGACAACTCATTAACCCTATAAGAGACCAGGGAAACTGCGGTGCATCATGGGCATTTTCAACAACAGGTATTCACTTCTGACGGAGATCTCAGGGACAATGATTTGTGTTTTACTTCATTATCTGAATAGACAGACATGGCTGATGACAAATCGTGGTATGTAGGTCGGTCAGTTAAAGATGTGGGCCAATATGTGAATTTAGCTATGAAGCGTAAAAAAACCTTACTGAGACTCAACCGTATAACGTATTTGAGAAGTGGAGTGAAATTTGTAAAATGTTAAAGAATTGTATCTACGTAATCTTGAAAAGCATCTTTGTCCTGTCAGGGCGTGTCAGCTAGCTAAAGGAGGAGACCCTGAAGGGATACAGGTCTTATGATGTTTATCTATTCTATGAAAGAGTGAAAAGAGTGAACTGTCCTTTATTCCTCGGAGAAAACTAATATTTACATGTAATTGTTTGGGAATTTATCAACGACACCAGATCCCAAAATTTCAATTTCACTTATTTTGTTGCGAAGCATTTTTCACTGGAGAAAACAGGACACGATTCCCTAAATAGTATTCTCGTTATCGTGTTCGGGGACACTAGTTGTACAGTCTTCTAAGGCACCGCAGTTCGTTGTGCCGAGTTGCTTCCCTAAGGCTTGCCAGAAACCTATGATCGTGAGTTCGAATTCCAGATTTTCCCTGATCTCAAATCTAGGTTTCTTAGCAGCATAGCCGTGCCAAAGTGGTAATCGTGTAAGACCTGCATCACTTCTAACTTGCCTCCCACTTCAAACTGACACGCCGTGATATAACCGAAATTCTTTCCAAAGCAACAAAACCCAAACTCACTCACTCACTCATTTATCCCGGTTGTAAGGTTATTTTGAAGTTTTATCGAAAACTCGGGAAAGTCAGATCATGCATTCCGTTAGTGAAGTCACCATATGGGCTTAACGGATACACTGACCATTGTCCATGTCTGCTTCAGCCGTAGCATCCGACCGCCTGGGTATCGAGTTCATGGGGGACTACAAGGAGCAGCTCTCCCCCCAACACATTCTATCTTGTAACAGTGACAAGCAGGAGGGCTGTGCCGGGGGCAACCTGGACCGAGCCTGGTACTACCTCAGGAGGAGGGGGTACGTGCTGCAGTCCTAAAAGCTTACTTTCGATTCACCCAAAGTGGAACCTCGTCAGTCGGGACACTGCCTAATATTCCAGGGAGAATTGGTTATCCCAATAATGCTTCATTGTTTCTCTGAATGGTATGGGCTGAAAGACCGGCTAGGTTATTGAGGATCGTCATGATATGGTTTTAAAAATTTATCTGTATCCTTATTTTTTCCGTCTTTTAAAATTATTTTTAGGGATCAATTTAAAAATTCTTTCGAGTTGAATTATTGTTTTTGCTTTTCTTATATAAAGTTGATATTTAAATCGAATGAGATTATTTGACCTGGTCGTTGTAAAGCAGTCAGACTTTCTGTTGTAGGCTGGTGACGGAGGACTGTTACCCCTACTCCAGCGGGAGGACCAGCACTGTCGGCGAATGTCTGGTCTCACCCCGGAAGCGTCAGGGGGACTGCCCCAGCGGCATAGAGTTCCGCATGGAGAAGCGCTACAAGACCACGCCCCCCTACAGGATACGTCCTCTTGTAAGTGATGCAGGCGATCGAGTAAAGCCAGTTTCTGCACGCACATCGCTTTGCGCAAGTAGGGATGCAATGTATCTGAAGTAAGTTGTGGACCACAGAATCCGTCCACTGCTGATACATACACACGTTTGGTCGTTTTAGAGTACATGTTGAGGAAATAACGTTTGCAACAGGAAATCCGAAATGGCCGCCACTTTTCCAACACTGACGCCAATAACATCCGGGGGTTATCGTTCCCAGTCCGGATTAACGAAACTATGTAGGAAAACGTTCCCTATTCCAGTCCGAAATAACAGAATTTCTCTGTATGTTATCAAAGTTATGTTGGTGAATCTGGTCCTCAGAAAAGTATTTCAACTAACGACCCTTAAAAAATGGCAATGTAACGTTTGACATTAGAACCTGTATTAATATAGTCAGGTCATACCTTTTTTGGATAACAGGAACTGTTAATAAAAAAACACACTTAAAGACATGTTTTATCATCGGACTAATATAATTCTATATCTTCGTTTGATGTTTCAGATGTGTATTTTAATGTCATGTCTTGATGCCTCGGTGTGTTCCACAGAAACACAGCGTGGGTGTGTGTGTGTAAAAACCTTCTATAAATCCACATCGACAGCGACACTGAAATAGAATGTTATGATGTATATCGACATACAGACAATGACATAACTAAGAAAATAAACCAGCCCCTTAATTTAGCTCATCCTCTGCTGTGAGGTTGTATTATAAGCCGTCTGAAGTTGTTCTCTCAAAGCTGTCTGATCGTGATCAATGAGAATGAAACAGCGAAATACATCCTTCTGTAAACGTTTGTAAATATCAAAATATGTCTTCAGTTGGTATTTATAACCGCACTGCTTCTCATTTTGAGTCACGGTGTCTACCACTGGCGTTTGACTCTTCATCCAGCACCATGTGTGAGTGAGTGAATAATGTTTTACAGTCAACAATATCGCAGCTAAATCATAGCGCGATGTTTGCAATGCTATATGACGGCGGTCTGTAAATAATCGAATCTGGACCAGACAGTCGGGTGATTGAAATCATGAGTATTCATCCACACAGTTGGGATACGATGACGTGCATGAACTAAGTCAGCGAGCCCGACGCCGCTTTCGGCAAGCTTGGGTTGCTGAAGACCTATTCCAAACCGGATCTTCATGGGTCTGGTTGCATGTGTATTATCGAGTCTGCACCAGCTGTACGTCACACACTGATGTTCATTCCCAAGGTTTAAACAAGACCACGTAACAATAAAGGCTGTGGCATACACATAAAAAATGAGTTACCTCCCTGCGTCTTCCAATCAACGGGGGCGGTCGGGTAGCCTAGTGGTTAAAGCGTTCGCTCGTCACGCCGAAGACCCGGGTTCGATTCCTGACATGGGTACAATGTGTGAAGCCCATTTCTGGTGTCCCCCGCCGTCAAAATTGCTGGAATATTGCTAAAAGCGGCGTAAAACCATACTCACTCACTCACTCCAATCAACGCTAGGCATATGATAGTGTCCGCAAAATCGGAAATTAAACTAGAATGGCGAATGGATTTGAATTTGAGCGTATTTACGTTTTTAGTTTTGGTTGAGATAATTAATTATTAATAAATAGTGGAATGATCCAATTCAAAGGATGGAATAAATACAGGGAAGTGGTCGGACATCCACAAGGATACATAGCTTTGAATCTTTGACAACAGCGAACGCGAATCGGTTAGTTCTATTTTGCTGCAGCCACGAATTCCTATGGTTGATAAAAGTCACAATGGCGTACGTCGGTGTCTGGAATATTACACCGGACAGCTCGACAGGCTATGGTACGCGAGTGATCTCCCTTCCTCCCAAGTATCTGTTGTGCGACCTCGAGACATATCACTGTATCCCTAAACTCCCTACACCTACCTGCGCCTCTTGTAGTCTGTTTGTGGAACTACTTACAGAACAAAGGCGACGTAATGGGCTTTCTAGCATCAACAATCAGACTGGGCTATCCACTTGTCAGATTAAACAGTTTTTCCTGTCCGCCTATCTGTCAAGGGAGACTATCCTCTGATTACACGCAGTAGTATTTACTTTGATCTTTAATTGTTGACTCAGTTATCTAGATCGTATCCCGCTTGAAGAAGGTCTGTTGGAAACAGTTCATACTTTTACCTTTCACTCTTTACTTTTTACTTTTTAACTTTTTGAAAGAATTACTATTTTGTGGAAAAAAATTATTCAATTATTTTTAGAACCAGTTAAGTGTTATGTTATGTATGCCAATGTGATTTTATAAAACATTCCATAATTTCTCCTTGCGTATGGAATGCTAACCTTCAGAATATGATGTCCATTACAAATGAGTTAAGTACCAGAAATTCGAGTAAAAAGCACAAGCCACGACCTTGATTCAGCCTGTCGTCAACACGCACCTGTTTTCTCTTTCTTTCCCTTGTTTCAAGAGAGACCAATGTGACTCAAGTGGTCTCTTAATGTAACACGTTCCAGGTGGGGTGAATAGCATCTACATCTCCTCCCACGTCACATGTCGAGGTCTACGTTACTAACCTGTTACTTCAGATCCGCCCTAGAGCGTTCAGACAGTCCTACGTATCAGTAGTAAATGCCCCTCTTGTCGAGTGCCTGTCAGAACCATGGGTTACTAGGGTATAATGATATGCCATCTTAATGTCCATGTCATCCCGCACGTTGATAGTGAACGATGATAATTGGTCAAAATTGCCAAACTGACATTAAAGTTCATATTATGTTTTGGTAACTTCTTTGATAGGCATTTTACTTGCTTGATAACGGTGTTAGAACCTACACCGAAACGTCGCTCTTAATTGTAATAAAGAAGTTGTTCATCCATAAATTCTTATCCTTACTATGTTTTGGTAGTTTCTTAAATGACTTTAAGGCTGATACTTTTGTTTCATGATATGTTTTGTCGAGGCATATATATATGTGTTACCGATTATTGATATATGAGCTTTTTACCCACTTCCCATGCCACTTGTTGAGGTCTATTGTTATATTAAAAGTTGCTAGGCAACAAATCTACACTTCACGCGCCGGGTCATGAGAACTAAGAACTTTATTAAGTACATGGTATTGTGTCCTTATGAAAACTCCGGCTCGCGTCGTGCACTTGTAGCATTTTGTGAAATTTCTCTGTCATGTTGAGAGGAGAGCTGAAGAAAGGAAATCTAATAAATCCAACTTTTATTAAAAAAATTTTTACAAGTCAATTATGTGTTACACCATAGATACCCCAGCTGTATCGCGACGCCCTGTATATATTCGAGTCTTGGGTGGACTAACCAGTGGTTGATAGCATTAACAACTCCACGCCGTTGGGTACGACGACACAGACTCGACCAGATCACACATTGTGACCATCCAATCCTCACTTAGCTCAAAGGGGCCCTATTCTGTCCTGGAATCCCCGCTGGTGTTATACTGTCCGGGGCTGTCTTCATTCGAACAACGGAGACAGTGTCACGTGTTTTCTGTACTGATTTTGATAGGGATTGTAAATGAAGAATGGTCGCTGCAACACTCCACCTTTTTGAGGAATACATTCTCTGACGGTTCTGCTTGTTCGTTGGACACACAGGCATAAGGCCGCACCATGGGTTGTTTTCTTTGGACTGTATTGTCGCATACGGAGGTGAAATGGTTTGAAATGACATTATTTATTGCTTAAAATTCACTTTTTATCTCTGCACGCGTTAATATTTGATAAACCTATGGATCTCGGAAGAATATATAATATATATATCTTATTACTGATTTCCAATTTTGGAGCATTTCATTAGCCACAGGAAGGCCCTGGGCGTAATTGGCAGCCTTCATTGTGAGTTTGGTCCTTACGAGTAAAAACGTACACGAATTAACCTGTTCATGGCCATACAGTCATTTCACCTAAAGAAGCGTTGACGCTTTGTACCGTAGTAGTGACAGTTCCTATTCAACGTATACGTGCTTGAATTGTTTTGTTTGTTGCTACAGATATTACTGATGTAATTCCTCTTATTTTTGGCATCTCCATCACCCTCACCTGTCTCATTGTTCCATTCAAGTTTGACTGCGTCATTTAATATAAGAAACTAAGTTGTCCACGTGACACCTGAACAGGTGATACATGGACATAGGTTTAGACGGCTACTAAACTGCCGAGCAAAAGAAATTATACACCCATGTTTGATGGTGGCTAAAAATGAAACATACAGGTATCATAGGCGATATTACACGCATCACAGGGGCGGTCGGGTAGCCTAGTGGTTAAAGCGTTAGCTCGTCACTCCGAAGACCCGGGTTCGATTCCCGACATGGGTACAATGTGTGAAGCCCATTTCTGGTGTCCCCCGCCGTGATATTGCTGGAATATTGCTAAAAGCGGCGTAAAACCATACTCACTCACTCACTCACTCACATGCATCACATCAATTAGTATCTCACAACAGGGGACGAGCACATGACGTCACAAGGAACATGGGTGAAATGTGATTACTTTCTTTTGTCCGGCAGTTTGTCCTGCCGATAGGGGACTTTGTGTGGACGACTTGCTAAAATACAAAGAAAGTCGATTTGTATAGTCTCCCTCCAGGACTATGAGTGAGTGACTCAGTTGGGTTTAACGCCGCTTTTAATAGTATTCCAGTTATATCACGGCGTGTCAGTTCAATGTGTGAGGAAAGCCCGAAGTGATGCAGGTCCCAGACGTTTACCACTTCGATGAAACCCACGAGCACGGGTATGGTGCTGACAAACCTAGGAACATAATCGGGGCGAACCGGGATTCGAATCATCGGTTTCTGGCTTGCCCAAGGGACGCAACTCTGCGTAGCGAATCGCGGCGCCTTAGACGACTGGGCCATCCGTGCCCCCGCAGGTCTATGAACATCTTGACGCTCCTTTAATAGCTGGGCATCTCACCCAGGGCGCGGATACTTTGGGGAAAAGGGGCGATTGGTGTTTTTGTAAACATTTGTTTAATCAAGTGTGACAGCCTGTGCTGGTTGTGGATTAATTTGTGCTTTCTGTTTTGTTAAAGATTTCATTTTTGTTTTGGTGGTAATATTTAATTATGTTTATGTTTGTAGGAGAGGGAAATAATGAAAGAAATTATGGTCAACGGCCCAGTGCAAGGTATAGTATACAGAAATTATACCCAGGTGTCTGTATTTATTTCAATCTTGTGTGAATTGACTGGTATTAATTATTACTTGAAAATACATCTCAGTTGTAGCCGTGAAGATCCGGGTCTTCAGCAACCCATGCTTGTCCTAAGAGGCGATGTGCTTGTAAAAGGCGACTCACGGGATCGGGTGGTCAGGCTCGCTAACTTGGTTGACGCATGTCATCACATCCCAATTGCTTGCATCGATGCTCATGATGTCAGTCACTGGACTGTCTGGTCCAGACTCGATTATTTACAAACCACCATCATATAGATGGAATGAGTGCGTCGTAAAACAACAAACAAACAACATTTCATTTCTCGTTCTTGGATCCGTAGATCACATTTGTGTAAGGGAGGTAACTCTTGTGATGTGTGTTTGTTTATGATTGATGGCCAGCTGGTGTCACGCAAGGCAACGCGCATTTTCATTGTTGTTTATTATACCCACAAAATATAACTGTGCATGCTTATTTCTTTTCCAATTCGACTTTTATTTGAAATACGTTAAATAAACTGAATCGTAACTTAACTGTTTTAGGGAATGAAGTACCGTAGAAAAATAACAACCAACGTGATCAATTTGTTGTTTAAAGGTTATAAAAGCACGAAATAATTAAGTGTCCAAACATTCGCAGGACCTTATAGTGAGTGAGGGATTTGGGTTTAACACCGCTTTAAACAGTATTCCAGTTATATCACGGCGTGTCAGCTTAATGTGGGAGGAAAGCCCGAAGTGATGTAGGTCTCAGACGTTTACCACTTCGGTGAAACCCACGTGCACGGATATGGTGCTGACACACCTAGAAACATAATCGGGGCGAACCGGGATTCGAACCCGGGACGCAACTCAGCGAATCGCGGCGCCTGAGACGACTGGGCCACCCGTGCCCCGCAGGACCTTATCGGCTGTATATGTGTATACAGATGCACCAGTTGAAATTGGCAACATTTTCTTTTCAGCCACATTCATCGTAAAAGAGGACTTCTACATGTATAAAGATGGAATATACCGCTACAGTAACATCAGCCGTGGCGAGACGAGCAACTTCAGACGGACAGGGTACCACTCAGTCAGGATTTTAGGGTAGGTCTTGTACGGGTGCTTCAGGGAGTTCGGGTAGTGTATGATATCACTGATCTCTCAGCAGTCACAGCTAGACTTCCCCAATCCTGTTTGGCCATGTTGCACTGCTGTGCCCCTCGGATCCTCGTCTAACAGAATGACCCTTCTAGTGCCACACCCATCCCTCTCACACGTCTGACCATACAGGCTTGTGCATATGATGCTTTGTGTACACGCAGAGGCAAACAGGGAGATTTTACTCCGCTTCAATTAGTTTGAAGAATATTTTTCTTTTTTTTAACTCTATTACTGTATTGCTCCAAACGGTGAAATGACTAGTCCAGTATTGCAGAGTAAGCTTTTGAAATGACAATCCAAAGACCGAAGGTAGGGTTTTCACACGACACCAGTGTTGTAGCCACTAGAAACTGCCAGTTGCCTCATGTAGGAATCAGTTTTCTGACTCCTTCCCTCACATAGAGTTTATGTTACGAGCATGTGTTTTCATACGGATTTTAAGAAACGACCGTCAGAATTCTTTCATTTTCCGAGCGAGGGCGAGTTTCGTAAACAAAATTGTCGTACCCTCATCATGGTAAAGAATGTGTGTAGAACCAGCCTTGTACAACGTGGTCTTCAGCACAACATTCAATACCACTCTATTATAGTGAGTGAGTGAGTATGGTTTTACGCCGCTTTTAGCAATATTGTCGCAACATGACGGCGGGGGACACCAGAAATGGGCTTCACACATCAGTCGATTATAGAATTTGTGAAGATTATGAAACATGAAAGTATGCCGTAAATGTCCTTATTGGTTGCCAAACCTTGTATCATATTTCTTTCTTCTTTCAGATGGGGCGTAGAGCGTACATTTCGAGGCGATATTGTCAAGTATTGGGTAAGCCGGCGTTTTGATAACACTATCCATGATTTCGAGATTATGTTAATGAAACGCCCGTAAAATATGTTGCCAATGTGTTCAGATCCGTCATTGATACACCTGAGCGGTGGTCTGGCATTGTAACGGAATCTGTCTTATGTGTATTGTTTTACGCCGCCGTAGCAATATCCCCGTGCTATCACGACGGTCTGTTATAATAGAGTCTGGGCCAGACAAGTGGTATTATGATGAACATCTCACGTCGCCCGCCCGAACTAATTCAGCCGCCTCTATAGCAATAGCTAGATTGACGGGGACTTACTCTAAATCCGGTCCCAACCTGAGTAAAAAGGCGGCACGTGTGGTATATCGCAATTACTGTTTGTAAAGGTCCAATTGTGAAGCTTCTTTAATCACGCGTACTGAAAGTTGGACCAGGATTTGTCCCGCCTGGTATGAATTAAAATGTTCTGAACAACGAGGACGGTCGGGTAGCTTCGTGGTAAAAGCGTTCGCTCGTCACGCCGAAGACCCGGGTTCGATTCCCGACGTCCATTTATGGTGTCTCCCGCCGTGATATTGCTGTAATATTTCAAAAAGCGGCCTAAGCCATACTCACTCACTCTGAACAACGATAGGGTGAGTGAGTATGATGTCATGCCGCTTTTAGAAATATAACAGCAATATCACGGCGGGGGACACCAGAAATGGGCTTCACACATTGTATCTATGTGGGGAATGGAACCACTAGGCTACTCCACCATCCCAGCAACCACAGAACAGCATTGTGACATCTTATAAATGGTTACGAGTCGACTCCTGTTTAAGTCGAACATGTTTAACACCCCATCACATTTATCCCCTTCATATTTATATTTCGAAACATCTATGGTTCTGCAAACATATTCCACGCGAAGTAGCTTTTCGTTTACTATTCTTGACGGATGAGCCAATCAAAATTGGAAACAGGTGGTCATAACATCGTGACCTACGTGTTTAGTCTCGCCTCGAAACCATGTTCAGTTGCTCATGCATTTATTCACTGGATTGTCTGGTCCAACCTCCATTATATAGTTGTAATATTGCCGCGTAAAACAATATTCACTTCATTACATACAAGCGAGACCCGTGAAGATCCGGGGTAGAATAGGTCTTCAGCAACCCATGCTTGCCGTAAAAGGTGACTATGCTTGTCGTAAAAGGCGACTAACGGGATCAGATGGTCAGGCTCGCTGACTTGGTTGATGCATGTCATCGATCCCAATTGCGTGGATCGATGTTCATGATGTCAAACACTGGATTGTCTGGTCCAGACTCGATTATTTACAGACCGCCGTCATATAGCTGGAATATTGCTGAGTGCGGCGTAAAACAACAAACCAACCAACCAACATACAAGCGATAAACATGTGATATTTACCCTCGTTGATCCAACAGCTGTGCGCCAATTCATGGGGCACCGACTGGGGCGAGAACGGCTTTTTCCGAATCGTTCGTGGTGAGAACGAATGTGAGATCGAGGCTTACATCGTGGGGGCTTTCGGGAAGGACAACCGGCGTCGTCGACTCATCAATCTGAGGAGGCTGAGTCGCATCCGGGACGGCAGGAAGTTCCGGAGCCTCAATCTCAGACGTCGGCGCACACGCAGGAAAAACAAGAAGAACAAAAACAAGGACAACAGACGCAAATTTAAGAAATCACATAAATCTGTGAAGAAATTATAGAAATATGTATTAGGTTTTATGAAATTATGATATTGTAAATGCATTTATACTCTACTGTAGCTATGTGTGCATTTGTACGAGCAGTGTTAATTTGTTTCAAGTATGACCTCACATAACAGGTATTTATCCCATCTGCAGCGTGGAACTGGACATCATTTAGACATTCGCGTATGAAGAGTATGTTATGTTGGATTATATCTATGACTGTATGTTCAGTTTTCTTTTGATTTTGTGCTTTTGTTTAGAACTATGTTCTATTTCAAAACTATGCATGCATTTGGGAACTCTCAAACTGATTTTCAGTTATGAAAAAGTCATTAACGGGTATTTAAAAAAAATCTTACACAGCTCAAATAGATCCGATATATGATTCTAAACACGGCAACATGTCAATTAACTATTTGCCGTTTGACTCTCACATGATTTAATTGGCATACGGACTTACGATGCACCATTTGCTATTTTATCTTCCAACTAATCTTAATTGTAATTCGTCCTTCTAAAAGAAATGGTTCGTTTTCGGTTTGATAATTCAGTGTACCATTCCCTAATCGATCTTTCAGTTCGACCTTCTAACAAATAAAAACTGCAATTCTGCCTGCAGGTAAATCATTAACTGGCCAATCTTCCAATCAAGTATTGTTATTCAACCTTCTTTTAATTCGTTTGCGAGGAATCATTTTCGATTCGATTCAACAATGAATCATTTACCAGTCGATGAAAGAAAAAAATGCAGGTACAAGATCTCAGTGATCCTATAGTTACCTCTGTGGTGTCCTCGGGGTTCGAATCCCGGATTTGTCCTGATGGCGAACCTTGGTTTGACAGAACCACACACTCTTGCTTGTAGGTTCCATTGAAGTGGTAGCGTCTGAGACAAGTATCGCTTTGGTGACATGCCGTGATAACTATAAATTGAAGCGGTGCGAAAACTTACCACCTACCACCTTACCCTTTATATACAATACTCAAAAGGACGTAGAAGAACACCGTACTGCTTTCATAGGACTACAGGTAAACGGTCATGGCTGGTGTGCAACACACAACCTTCCAAATGTGGGTGTTCTTTAACTTGTTTTAAGTGAGTGAGTGAGTGAGTTGGGTTTAACGCCGCTTTTAACATTATTCCAGTTATATCACGGCGTGTCAGCTTAATGTGGGAGGAAAGCCCGAAGTGATGCAGGTCTCAGACGTTTCCCACTTCGGTGAAACCCACGAGCACGGGTATGGTGCTGACAAATCTAGAAACATAATCGGGGCAAACCGGGATTCGAACCCACAATCATAGGTTTATGGCGTGTCCAGGGGACTCAACTCTGCACAGCGAATCGCGGCGCCTTAGACGACTGGGCCACCCGTGCCCCCTTTGTTTTAAGTAGTATATATGGGCTTTGTTATGAACCACAAGTCATTTCAACAGTTTTACAAGTCTCTCAGTGAATATCAAACAGTCAGTATATCAAAGACGCCCTGAATGCATTGTGTATGTATGAAATGACAATAGTAATGATCCAGATGTTTACAATCATGTTTACTCCATTCTTCCCCATATTCTTCTTCCCAGCTACAGGACTTTATGAAAAACTACTTTGTTATGATGATTATGTTGTTTTCTGTTGACAATGGCTAGTTTATTTGTAGTAGGCATTATATAGTGTTTTTTTAATTTTGTATACGTAATAGTTTGTACATACATTTCCACCCACAATATATAATTCTTCCGTGTACTATATTGAATTAAACATCTTCCTACGATATCTGTTTGTTGTTGAGCTGTGCAAATCCCCTCATCCGAATGGTCAGTGGCTGCATCCATCCCAGTGCTGCACCATCACTGGTATAATTGCATTTAATTTAATAAAAAACAATCTAGAGTACAAAACAAGCACGTCTCGCTAGCTGTCCCATTCAGCATTAAACTTGTTAAAGAGATATATGTATGGTATTATAAAAGCTTTCCCAGGCTCTTATTATGTTAAGCTACAGCCACTCATCGCTTACTTTTCGAAGCGAACTTCCTCCTTGGTCTAGTGGATAGAGCGTCTGTGAGGAAGGGTGGTGGTTCGATGCCTGGCCGCGTCAGACCAAACGATGATTGTATTTGTTGTTACCCTGCCTGGTGCTCGATATTAAGGGGATGACTGGTTGGCTTGGAGTCAGTATACTGTGTCTGAGTAGGGTATCCATGCTAATCTGCGGCATGGTAATTCATCACTCTGCTTGCACTATACCACTGTTCGCTGTTGATTATACAACTCCGGCGTGTGACTCTGTCATAAAGCGAGTGAGTGAATGTTGCTTTCCGTCGCGGTCAGCAATATTTCAGCTATATCACGTCGGCATGTTTGTAATCGTATCTAGGCAAGGCAAACCTGTGGTTGATAGAGAGAATAGGTACAATGTGTAAAGACCATTTCTGCTGACCCCTACGTGATATTTCTGGAATATTGCTAAAAACGAAATGACATCTCACTCACTCACTCACTCACTCACTCACTCACTCACTCACTCACTCACTCACTCACCCACTCACCCACTCACTCACTCACTCACTCACTCACTCACTCACTCAGCCCCTGACTTGTGTCATCGTGACCGTATAGCGTGGGACGTTGATCATATCATCAACTACTTGTTTACACTTGATTAACTCTGAAGGTAGACGAAGTAGTTGCAAAATTGTTAACGTTCGCGAAAAAAACATACCCATAGTTACACATGAGATCCCTCATTCAAAGTATAATATTTGTCTGGTAATTCTATGTCTTATTTTGTATCCCAATCCAGTTAGTAAATATTACACCAAGTAAAAAGAGAATTGTCGCGCACATGGCATTTGGACATGGAAGTGGATACCAGGCCATTCTGCTTATTTACAAAGTGTAGAGCCATTTAAAAGTTTAGTTTGTTGCTGTCGTCATCAACATTACAAATGACTATAATGGGTTTCAGGACAAACCAGTGTTCGATAGAACGAACATCAGTGCTAGGGACACAGTTCGACGCTATCTTCAACAAAGAATAGTACAAGCTGTAGCGCAAAGAGCCCATTGTGAAACGAGGCTCTAGCCAAGACAAGCCGTTCTGACTGGTGGAGGACGTCAGTGTATACGGACGTGATTGATGTTATGTTGAGTGAGTGAGTATGGTTTTACGCTGCTCTTAGCAATATTCCAGCAATATCACGGCGGGGGACACCAGAAATTGGCTCCTCACGTTGTAGCCATGAAGGGAATAAAACCGGGTCCTCGGCGTGCCAAGCGAGCACGTAACCACTAGGCTAACCCATTTCCCCATCATTATCAGAACATTAAATGTGCGTGTGCACCTGTCAGGTGACAAGACTCCGCTGCATACGCCACCACACCAGACGTCACACCGTTGTTTCACCTGCAACACGCGCCATAATCATACCTCCATGTCAGAATGATGAGATCTGATTGGTCCACGTGATCTTGATAAAATACTTTATCATACCTCCATGTCAGAATAACGAGAGATGATTGGTCGACGTGATCTTGATAAAACACTGTGTAACCCGCACTGGAGGGTAATAAATTTCTCAGCGGAGGAATAAATCTTGTATACCCCGCCACGAGCACTACAGACTGCACGTCAATTTCCGAGAGACAGAATAAATACTTTATACCCCGCTTTAAAGTAAAAAGCCGCACGTTTTTTCCGAGCCAATGGAAGTCACGTGACATAGCATAAATTGACCTCAGCTCAATCGAACAGATGCTTTTTGACTATCAATTTTGAATTTGTGTTAATTCTTTTAAAATGTCATATTAAAACATGTCGGTAAGATAAATTTGTTGTAGCAGGATCACCCGGGGTACTTGGGGTTTTATGTGTCCCTCATTGGGTTCTATACCAGCGGCTGGTGGAATAAAACCTAACGGGAATCATAAAACCCCAAGTACCCCTCGTTATCCTGCTACAATTTACCGCGAAGCACCCAAATTGATCGAAGCACATGTAAAATGTGCAATATACGCCTTTGTGTGATGAGACCTGCTGTGCACTGAGTTTAGGGAAGATACAGTGACACCATCTGAGTGCGTTTTCTAAACATTTCAACAACCGGAGCAGTGCATCATATCTGAATAGGAGTTAATCCTAAGCTTCATGTTTTAGTTCAAAATTATGGTAATTTCAAATTATATGAATTTCAACTTAAAACCGAACGCCGAGGTCTTGCCGAAATGCACGTGATTTATAACCAACTTATCTCAACTATACCATGACGACTTTGTCGTTGCTGTCTGTGAATGATGAATCTGGAATCGTTGCCTTCATTTATAGTTCACTTAACTCACACATAAATGTCGGATTTTGATTGGCTAAGACCCATTCTATTATTTCGCTTATTAGAAAGGTTTATTTCTTGCGCTCCTCGAATTGCCGAACTGTTGGCATTACATTTGCAACGTAATAACCGCAATTGTGCATCTCAAATCACTGATGTAAGACGCCATTCTCCGGATATGTACGATACTTTCCGAATGGAATAGATCTAAGAGGAATAACTAGTTTGTTTTCCAAAAACGAAGTGGATAAATGCCTAACTGTGGTATTCTTACCGATTCGAGACAAAACATGCATGCACAGGACATACCTGCAATGTACTTAGGCGTCTGTGAGATACATTCGTTGTCCAACGATCCCTCGGGTAACATGATAAGTTGTCAACCGATCTCGAGGGGTTTATGGTACACGGGCTCTCACACACGGTACATCACATCGCATGCCCCTCCAGATCGGTGCACAACTCATAATGTCACCTGAGGGTGCGGCTGACAACGAATTCATTTATTCATACAGGTCCGACATTCATTCATACAGATCCACAGGAATATACGTCCACAGTTTCACTGACTTAAGCCTGCAACACACAAGTCTGCATTTGCGTATTTGCGTATTTGCGTATTTGCGTAAGCGCTATCCGTATCCGCAAAAATTCGATTTTGTATAAACATTGCAAGGTGAAACACCTTTGCTTCACGTTCACGTATTGTGCATGCGTCTGACGTACATATAAGCGATGGGAAATCCTTAAAAGATGTCAACTGGGCAAGTTTTAGGTAGAATGTTGACGTTTTACTGATCGTAAGCATAGACATTGCTCGTAAGCATAGACATTACTCGTAAGCATAGACATTGCTCGTAAGTATAGACATTGCTCGTGTATGACATGTTCCGATACAGCGTATAAGCAACCGCATACACAAAACACACACGCAAATGTTGTGTGTTTCCGCTCTAGTGAAACGCGTAGCAGACAACGCAAACGAACCGAGTTACTTCCCTTCACCTAATGCATTCGTATAAACATCGGTTTATTTCATCTCAGCGATACTTATTCGCGATATGCAAGTTATCAAAGGGGCTACATCGGGGCGGTCGGGTAGCCTAGTGCTTAAAGCGTTCGCTCGTCACGTCGAAGACCCCGGTTCGATCCCCACGTGTACAATGTGTGAAGCCAATTTCTAGTGTCCCCCTCCCTGATATTGCTGGAATATTGCTAGAAGCGGCGCAGAGCCATACTCACTCACTCCCCCACCAATCAGAAGCTAGTATTTCAGTGTAAGAAGCGATAAGGGCTTGTGCACCCTCTGTGTTGGTTTATGTTCCATTCGCCTTCGTCTTCCGGGAATTAAAAGTTACATGGAGGATACATCAACCCCTCGATCAAACCCCATGTCCCCCTCGAGACAGGTGGTCAACATTTGATGCACTGCACATACTCTAGAAGAGAGACAAAAACATTGCGCATGGATATTATTATTCGGTAAAGTGCTCGTCCTTATTTTATACTGAATCGGCAACCAGAATGGAGACATTTTCAAAGTCACGACAAACTGTTGTCTTCCGCCTTACGTACTATGTCTGTAGGACGGCTTACTGACATAATTTCGATTCTGGACCATGCTGACCTGTGGTCTGGACCATGCTGACCAGTAGTGTGGACCATGCTGACCTGTAGTCTGGACCATGCTGACCAGTCGTCTGGACCATGCTGATCAGTAGTCTGGACCATGCTGACCTGTAGTCTGGACCATGCTGACCTGTGGTCTGGACCATGCTGACCAGTAGTCTGGACCATGCTGACTTGTATTCTGGACCATGTCGACCAGTAGTCTGGACCATGCTGACCTGTGGTCTGGACCATGCTGACCTGAAGTCTTGACCATGCTGACCTGTGGTCTGGACCATGCTGACCTGTAGTCTGGACCATGCTGACCTGTAGTCTGGACCATGCTGATAAGTAGTCTGGACCATGCTGACCTGTAGTCTGGACCATGCTGACCTGTAGTCTGGACCATGCTGACCAGTAGTCTGGACCATGCTGATCTGTAGTCTGGACCATGCTGACCTGTAGTCTGGACCATGCTGACCTGTAATCTGGACCATGCTGACCAGTAGTCTGGACCATGCTGACCTGTAGTCTGGACCATGCTGACCAGTAGTCTGGACCATGCTGACCTGTAGTCTGGACCATGCTGATCAGTAGTCTGGACCATGCTGACCTGTAGTCTGGACCATGCTGACCTGTAGTCTGGACCATGCTGACCTGTAGTCTTGACCATGCTGATCTGTAGTCTGGACCATGCTGACCTGAAGTCTGGACCATGCTGACCAGTAATCTAGACCATGCTGACCAGTCGTCTGGACCATGCTGACCTGTAGTCTGGACCATGCTGACCAGTAGTCTGGACCATGCTGATCAGTCGTCTGGACCATGCTGACCT